TTACAAGAATGCTGGTTAGGCGCGAAACCATGGCATACCTATGATTAATTGGTGCCTTGCATTTGTGCTTTACAGTATTTGTTCAGCTTCTGACAGTGGGTTTGATACTGTAAAATACCTGGGAAGGCGACTTATGGTAAAAGCAAAGACATAAAGATATAAGTGCAGCAGTAAAAGAACATGGCTTGGTAAAATATTGGCTTATGCTTAGATACTTGAGTGCCACACAAATCAAACTACCTGTCCAAAGGTCCCACAAGAGAAATCTGGTCTCCCCATCAGCTATTCATGAATCCATGGAGTAAAAATCTGGGCATTTCTTACCTAGCTGCCAATTGCAGGATTCGCCACACTTTCAAAATCATGGGCAAGGGGTCCTGACAGTATTGTTATCCCCATTACCTATTGAAACAACAGCATGAGTTGCCCTCTGGTCTTGTCCAAAACTAAGGAAGCCAACAGAAGGACTCCCACTGAATACATTAGTTTTTTAAATTAGGATTTAGAAAAGGTGATATAACTCAGACCATAGTCTGTATGTAAGCAGGTTGCTTCCCTGCCACCTTAACTGGCAAGTCAATTATTTCAGCTCCCCAGGGCTAACGTATTCTTCACCAATACCACCTTGGCGTCCCAACAGAAACAAACCAAAACTCTTCTATCCTTTTCCAATGGGAGGAGAGAGGTAACTGCACTCAGACTGCCCCCCTCAGCCATCCTGGAGTTTTGAACCCTTTTCGTGACTCCAGCCTCCTTAGCCAGTCATCACTTCCAGCTGGCTCCCAGCCAGGTAGACTACTGCTTGCTGTGCCTGTAGCTGCACTGGGAGCCCTTGAAGGCACAGCACCTCCTTATACTGCCTTTAATTGTAATGGCTCTAAGCAGCCATAGGGTTGCTAACACCACGTCCAGATGAGCACAGGCATTTGGTTCCCCAGGCACAAGTAGCAGTGGTGCACCTTGCACTGCAGCTGCTTGTCCCCAGGGAATGCCCATGTCATGCAGACTTGGGCATGCAGCAAGTTACCCTGCCTGGGGTAGAGGAGGCTGGGGCCAGCACTGTGCTGGCCCCAGTAGCCCTACTGGGGTCCTGGCTGTGGTGATCACGCGAGGCAGGAGCTGGCTGGCAGCTGCAGCATGGCTCTGGGTGGCCTGACTCCACTTTTAAGCGGTGCAAGCTGCCTGTGCATGCAATACTCTGGGTTTTTTTCCTGCAGGTTTTTCTTGAGCCCTTGATATCCAAAAAAAAAACCCCAACAACAACAAAAACCTAGCAGTGCATGCATAGGCAGCACACCCTTGCAGCATGGAGAACACTTGACTATGCGATATATATACAGATGCGTTTGTGGCGCCACATACCGCATGGCCGTGCTCGTCTGGATGCACCCTAAGTGTACATTCATTGTCCTCAAGTTTCTCCAAGTTTTGTAATCCCTTCCCAAAACATAACCTCTCACACCCTAAAATTACTGGAGTTTCTAAATTATTTGTTTTACATTCATAGTGTGCTGGTCCTTCCAGAACACTCTTCCTAACATTTCCCACCAGAAGCAGCACAGTCCAGTATTTCATTTAAATTTAGCTTAAATTAGAAACTTGTATTATTTAAATGAAAAACATCCTCTCTCTAATAACTAATACAGCGACCCGTGTTCCCCACAAAGTGTTACAAGTCCCCATGCAGTTCCCAAGTGCAGTGTCACGCTTGAAACTCTGAATTAGCTGAAGAATGTCTGAAATATGTAGCCAAGCACCATCTTATAAATTATGGATCTATGCATCATATGGAAGCTGCGATGATTTCAGCTACAGTGAACGCATGCAATTAATGCACATGAATAAACACCAGAGCTTATTGCCCCAGAGTTTCTTGCTCCTCGGCATGTCATTTGAATGTGCACCTGGGAGCAAAAAACTCCAAAGCATATTGCTTTGGAGTTTATTTGTATGCTGCATGTGGGGCCCAGCTGGGGCAGCCTGGGTTGGCAGGGGACCCAGGGGGTCAACCTGCCAGCCCAGGGCTGTTCCAACTGGGATCCACACACTTTGGAGGAGCAGGGTGACGTGCAAAGGTGCTTCAGTGCAGAGCTAACCAGCAGGCAGACCCCATGCAGAAGCACCCTGTGCCCCAGCCAGCCAGAGCAGCATCTACACATGTGCTGCTGTGCATGAAGAAACTCCACAGCAGGGGTCGTACTTGTATTTATTTGCTATGGAGTTTATTAGTTTCATGTGCCCTAACGGGTGCGTGGGTACCAAGACATTTACTGTGCTGTTAATTAGTCACTTGCACAGTAAACATCTTGTGTAAATGCGCCCTGTGTGAACTAAAGTATGTTCAAGAAATTTGTTTACAGATATGCCAATTTCATGAGGAAGAATGCAAAAATCTTAACTTCTTTTACTTAAATCAGGCTGTGCTTTGGGATCCTCCATCGTTAATACTGACAGCACGCAGACCTGGAATACATGTCTTCCTGCAAGAGCAAAAAACATTACCATATTGAAACATTGAGTTCAAAGGCCTGCAATACATACTACATACCTACCAGTTTGCAAAAATAGTGAAGACAGAATGTGACCTTAAATGTCTCAACATAATTCTAGTACTCTCTCCTATGTCATGAGAACTTTTATACATACAAAAACAAATGGCAAAGAAAAAGCACACCTTTTAGTGTTCAGGTAAAAATTGTTAAATCTCATCTGTACATATTTTGCCAGAAGCGTTAGAATTCTCAAACCTGGAAATATTCTAGGTGTTCAGTTTTCCACCAGGTATTCCATTGTGAATGCTCAAAACTGATGTTCCACAAGCTTTGCTGCAGAACTTTTCAGCCAAGTAATTGACCACCCACACAGAGCCACTGCCAAACCACTCTGCCCAAAGTATGCATTAGGTAAATGAATACTACACATCTGGGGCCATAAGTGCAACCTTAGGAAAGAGAAAATACTCTGTAAGGTTACATGCTATAAATCTGTGCTTACAACCTTAATCTAATGAGAACATAATAAAAAAATAAACATCACTGAAAATAAGGCACTCAAATCTCTCTTTATAGCAGTTCTTTATTTTGTATTTAATGTATGCTTTATCCACACAAGCACTTTGCTTTGAAAAATCCAAATACATTTAGTCAATAGAAATAGCATTCTAGCTGTCTTAGCATATGCTGTCTTAGCTAAATTTTAATCAAAAACAATCTAATTTATGAATTTGTGCAATTCTCATTTCAGTGTAGCTTTCTAATTAACACTAACTGGGTTTATAAGCACACGGAAGAAACTATTTCTCAAACTTTGACATTCAATAAATCCCTTGCAACTTCTAAATCAAATTGACATTCTGGACTCCACAAAAGAAACCAATCAACAAAGGGCACATAGTATTACAGGAAAAATAGGATGTAAACTTTCAATAAACAGGTAAAACAAGTTGATAAAACAAATGTCTCTCCAGCATAGGTGGCTTCCGTGGGTGCTCACTAGCCCTGTCCCTGCTGCTGCTGCTGGCTTCTGCAGGTGCGCCCCCCCAGACTCAAGAGGCACCAGTCGCCCATGCTCTCCAGCAACAAATTCTTCAGCTTTTCTTCTCACCAAGCCACTAGTCCTTTCAACAGATCTAAATGCCAGTTGTGCCCCCTCATCAACACACACATCCTTATCGCTGGACCAAACAACATGGATTAGAACATCCAGGATAATTTACCTGTTTCTCTACCAATACATGCTACATCAGACAGATGGAGCAATCACGGTGTGAAACAGTGAATGGACGCTGATCTGACATCAGTTTCAGAAAGAGATAAAAACTTATCTAGTGAAATATTGTAACCTCTCTGAACGTTCCACCACTGACCTCAAAGTAGCTGTTTCTAAAACAATTTTTTAAAAACTCACTTGAAAGTGAAATTGCAGACCAAGAAATCAGCCACAGAGTGAATTGCTTTACATATGGCCAGTGCCATAGCAACAAAGTCTGGCACCCTAGGCAAAGCCTACAGTGGCAGCCCGCCCTCACCCTGCATACAGATCCGGGGGGCACATCCCCCACCATGCTTGCCCACAAGTGCACGCAGCGGTGGGAGCCGTCCCCCCGCTCCTCTCCCCTCCCCACACACACTCGCCGCTTGCAGTCCGTCCCATGCCACACCGTAGCTGGGCAGCACCTGTTGGCTCCCCTTTGCTTCGGCGCCCAGAGGGGTTGCCCCGCTCGCCCATCCCTGCCCACCATCCCCCTCTTGCTACATCACTGCATGTGGCCTCCATAAAGACTCTGGATTCTCATCCTATTACCTGGACTAGCTTTTATAACAGCTAAGTCGCTCAATATTTTAACTGATTTGTTTATCCCCTTTAATTTCTTCAACCCACCATCACCACTTCGCAGTGCCCACTTCTTTTCCTCTTACCCTAGCCTCTGTACTTAAGGCAGAAGGCAGGGTAGAGGTGTACCTTATAGACTAACTGAATTAGAGCTGCATATACTTTTGTGAGTCATAGCTTACTTCATGATGAAAAAGGTGCACCTCTACCCTCTTTCTGCCTAACTTCAGACTAACATGGATAACCACCTTTCTCCTACTCAGGTAAAATATTAGGAATGACGGACTCAAAGGAAGAGCAATGGGACACAGGTTGTTGTAGCTGACCATAGGTAACTGCTGCATGTTGGTAGCAACACAAAGTTTATTACTGTAATTCAGTGGCCCCTGTGAAAGGAGCTGATGGAATCAGTCCTTGTCATACAAACAAAATATCACTAATTTGTACCATGTTGCTCCTCTCAAAAGACAGAACAAGAGATGGCTGAGACTGAAAACACCTTCACACTTTTAGAACTGTAACTTCACTTTTATTCATGGAGGCAGTGGGGGGAAATTTGCAGCTCTGGTAGTCACACTGCATTTAGTCTGGGTTAACAGGAAGCTAATTTGTTCAGAGACAGTTCCAATTCTTTTTCCTAGCAGATATTACCCTCTAACAGAAAAATACATGATAAAGATGACTTCAAGAGAAAAAAGGGTCCTGTGCAAAGGAGTATGTACTCCATTTCTACTTACAAATTGAACCTTTTTTCAAAAAAGGAAAAGTTTAGATGAGGGATAGTAGCTGAGTTCTTGCTGCAAGCCCCCGTGTATGCAACATGGGGATAACTTCTATCCCATTACTCTCTATGTGCAGCAAA